ATAATAATAATAATAATAATAATAATAATAATAATAATAATAATAATAATAATAATAATAATAATAATAATAATAATAATAATAATAATAATAATAATTATTATTATTATTATTGTTATTATGATGATGATGATGATGAGAATGAAATCTTCTAATTGAGATATGAAGAAAACCCCTTCTTTAAAAAAAAATTATGGATCAATATTTTCTTATAGCTAATATTATTATTAATTATAAGAGCATTGATATGTAATTTTTTTATAATATGTAATGTATTTTAAAAGTGATAGATCTAATGGAAGGATTCTGACTTTAGATGATAAAATCATTAATAAGAGTACACGTTTTAGGTATCTCAAATATATTGTTCCAAGTGATGGTGAAGTAAAGATGAGGATATTATTAATAGAATTCATGTTCAATGGTTGAAATGGAGGAATGCGTTGGGTCTGATGTGTGACAAAAAAGTTCCCCTCAACTTAAAAGAAAATTCTATAAGATGGTGGTGAGACCTACAATGTTTTGTGGCATGGAATGTTAGCCATTAATAGAGAAATATAAAATTAAGTTAAGTATTGTAGAGATAAGGATGCTCAGATAGATGAGTGATTTACTCTTAGAGATAAAATATGAAATGAGTATATATATGAAAATGTTGGAGTAACTGTAATGATAGATAAGATTAAAGAGAGTCGTCTTAAATGATTTGGACGCATAAAACGTCAACCTTCTGATGGCTTGGTTTGAAGAGTAAATGTATTGGATTTAGCCTATGTTAAGAAAGCTAAAGGTAAACTTAAAAAAACTTGGTTAACAAATATTAAAAATGACATTTTTTTTATTAGATTTAAATGAGAATTTAACTCTTAACATAATACAATGGAGAAAAAGATTCATGTAGCTGACTACACATTGTGGCATAAAAGTTTGATGTTAATATTGTTGTTTTCTTATAATTAATAATTATATTAATCCCTAGTCAAATTTATTCATTAACCTTACTATGATTATAAATGAATTGAGTAACAAATTATTCAAGTTTGTTTATTTAACAACCAAATATTTATAAAAGTAATCAATCTTGTTCGATTAGGTAGTAAAACGATTATGAATGAGCTCTGATCAAATCAAACCTCGAGTACTTGTCAAACATTTAATTATTTTGCAACCCCAATAGCATAGATGAAAAACAAATATTCTTCTACTAAACATAGAGCAAAATTTTCCTCAACTTCCCCATAGCCTGCCTTGACATATAGCATAAATTCTCAAAGTTTCAAGGCCACAGAATTTACCCAAATATGCTTATATTTGTTTTCTTGGGGAAAATTCACCCACTCTATACAAGTAGAATTCAAAGAAACCCTCAATCAAATAGGCATATAAACTTTTTAACAATAAGCTACCTGACCCTTCCTCTTCCCAGTGCCTCCCCTGCCTTTGGTGATCATCATTCGCTTGTGATCAGTTTGTGACAAAGTTCCAAGAAAAAATATTGTCTCCATCTCCAGCTAGTTAGTCAAGATTAGTTATATTGTACATTTGGAACAAGGCTCGAACAATATTCGTAGAAGGTTTGAATAAGCTCTAATCAAAGTTGGAATCCGTTCAAATAAAGTTTAATCAAGATTCGATCATAATTCAACTAAATTTCAATAAGTTCCAAACATGGTTTGAATTAAAATTCGATCATTGGTGGAATAAGGTTTCATGAAGGTTCAAGCAATGTCTCAATAATATTAGAATAATTTTCAATTATTGTTTGAATATGATTCAAATTATATTATTTTATTATTACTGCTCTTTTAAAATTAACTCGTTTGGGCTATATGTACTCTGTATGTAAATATTTGCTCTAACAATACATGTACAGAAACATTATATTTATTGGGTTGCATATAGAGTTAGGAGTGTGATGGAGAAAATTATTAGGAATTTCGAGGCTAATGATCTCTTTATGTTCAGTGTTAAAAGCAATAACATAATATTTGACATTGTTGGATTTTGCACTTATCAGTATTTAACAAATGTGTTGCTAAAGATCAATGCAAAAGTGGGCCTTACTGTAACAAGTTTTCCATCCCAAACTGATGAACTCACTATCATGTCGTGCTTATTAGGAATGATTTGAACCCTAATGATCTTCAAGAGCAAGTACATTGCTTTTTTTATGTGTAAGTTGTGCTAATTCACAGTAAGCATTATCGTTTAAGAAAATTTGTTCTAATGTGATCATAAACCTGAATTTTAAATGAAAATATCATATATCAAAGGAGTACAAATACAATATCTTCTAAAATTTATACACTACATACAGTTTCAAAGGTGTCAAACTCTCAATTTGCATGTTGTGTTAGGAATATTGTGTTATATTTCTTGAATTGAACTCTTTATGTTATGGATGTTGTTTTATCTTTTGTATCATATAGTTGCTTGTTAAATGTCTTGAATTGAACTTTGTTATGTTATAGATGTTTGCTATCTCTTAAATTATACTCTTTTATGTTCATTTATCAAATTTGAACTTTGCTTGAACTTTATTCAAATAGGATTTCAATATTGTTCTGACCATTTTCAAATTGTGTTTAACCACATTCAAACAAGTTTCAAATAATGTTCGATTATAGTGGTCTATCAAACTTTAATAAGTACTTTGCTGTTAAAAATAGAGATATTTTAATATATATTAAACTTTTGATCATATTTTCACAATTTTGGATATTATAAGGCATAAAATCAATTTTTTCTTTTTCTTTTTTGTTTTGTTTTTCATTCTCATTGTTTTTATTATTTTTGTTAACTTAAAATAAGATTTCATTTGAATATATATTCAGATTTCTTGTTTTGACAATAAATATTTTTGAAAACAAGTGAAAATGACTCATATGATAACTTCAAAAATTTCAAATCCAAAAATTTTTTATATTAAAAATCTGTTTTAGAAAGCAAAAAAAAAACTGTCCCAAACGAAGCCTTAAATATAATTATCCTTAATATTAATCCTTGAAGAAATTCCATCTGTTCATTTAATTTTTTACTTGAATCAAGAATCTGAATTACAGGTTATACACAATTTGTTCACATACACAAATATCAACAAACACCCAATGACAAATTATGATAATTTATTCATCAAAAATTGAAGTTAGAGAAGCTCATCAAGGCAGAGGATGAAATACAGATCTTTAATTTTAAGTTTTGTTCATTGAATCTTATTTCAAAGCAAGTTTCTTAAGGTGCTGGAACATCCTCTGTTTAATCCACTGTCGATCGTAGGGAAGAAAAGCATGAATTGAGTGATCATAGCTGCAATTTAGACAGAATAAGATGTATCAGTTTATCAATTATAGAATATGAAGTAGATGATCCTGGTCATGGAGATTGCTACACTGGAAACTTACACCAATGCACTTAAGTCTGTGAAGCCATCGATAAAGTTATATAGATCAGCAATATCATAGGTGATGTTTAAGATGGTTGGATCGATCTCCTTCAGTTTTCTCTCATAGAGTCCGCAGATTCCTGCAAATGACAGAAGTGGTCGCTCCAGAAGTCAAGAGAAAATAATTTTCTAGTACAAAAATTTTTTGAATTTGAAAATTTTCTACTGAAAAGCCGTTTTAAAAAGCAGTACGAAAGTTATCCTAAACGAAACATAAGTTTTCAAGCAAAACCTCCTTGTAAAATCGTGCTCGTTTGGATTATAGAATTGGCAGTTTGTTCTAACAATGTTATCTCTGTATGTAAAATTGCATCCGGAGAACTTTTAAAGTTCCATAATTGCAGGGAAATGCTATAACAAGATTTTTAAAGTTGAAAATTCACTGTTTTGCTAATATTAAGGTTGAAAACTTATTGTTATTATAGGATTTCAAATGTTGAATTGAAATTTGCAATATTAGGTCAGAGCTGAGGGACTTTTGATAAGTTACTTGAGTCATTTGGGGTTATAAATAGAATCTTTGAGGCATATAGAATTTATTAAATGTTTGAAGAAATTTTATATTTCTTTTTAATTCTTGTGTTTGCTATTGCATGCAGATTCTTTGAGCATTGTGTGTCTTGAAAACAATCTTTAGTGGATGGTTCTCCTTGTATTGATGTGGGGCTTGGACCTTTCAATCACTGATTTCTTTCCTTATTCTTTCTTCTAAATGTTATTTTTAAGTATGCAATTGAACATATGAATTTGAAGGATGACCTAGGCCCACATCCTTACCAAATAACTTGGGTAGACAAACTAGGATTTTTGTTTAGATGTGACACTTTACTTATAGATGTTGAACAAGTTGCCATAGTTGAATCATTTAGATTTGGCGCACTATGGAAAGCTCAATACCTACGTATTTAAGATCAATGGGAGGAAGTTATTTTTGAAACCTACAAAAACTAGAGTTCTTACATCAAAATAATCAAGTTCTCCTAATGAACTAAAGAAACATTTGCATATCTTCAACCAAAATGCTTTTGAAAAAGAAAGTAGAGACCAGAGAGTTATTTATACCTTGATACCTGTTGAATTGAACAAGTATGTGATTGAGTATGTATGTGCTTCCTAAATTTAAGGAATTACATTTCAACAAGCCTCCACCTCCACTTAGAGATGTTTAAAATGCTATTAAATTGATTCTTGTGTTGTCATTACTTATTTTGCCACATTATTGGATGAATCATACTGAAACTACCACCAACGACTAAAACTACCATCAACAACGACTATACATCCGGTGTTCCATGTATCCTAGCTGAGGAGGACAATTGGAGATCATGCAGCGAGTTCGGAGTTACCAATAACGTTGACAGAGGATTTAGAGGTGATTTTAGAACCCTTAGAGTTAATGGGGGTTTGTCACAGAGAAGATGGAGCTAAGAAAGTGCTGATCAAAATGAAAGATCCACACGGACTACGATGCCACATGGGAGCCTTATGAGAGGGTGAAGCATTAGTTCTCTTTTTTTACCGTGAGGATAAGGTGATTCTTTAGGAATGAGTATTGCTAGATCAATCCCCATTGGATCAGCCCTTGGCAAGGGGCTGGTTCAAACATACAAGAGGCGGACCAAAGTTGGTCCGCCCTCTTGAATTTCCGCCAAAGCGAGGGGTGGGGCCCACTAGGAGCTAAAATAGGTGGAGAATTGGAGGATTAGGGAATGCAAAATCATTGTGGATGTTTCTTGTTCTTGAAGTTGGTGCCTTGGGATCTAACGGCGGCTAGAGATTGGGAGAGAAGAATCCTCTCAAATTGAAGATCAATTGTATCTTGTAATTTCTTTTCCTTTGGTTTGATTTATATAATAAAAACTACTGTTTTTGCTTGTTTTTCATTGGATTTGTGGAGTTTTCCCCACTGTTTTCGTCAATCTTGTCAGAGTTTACTTGTGATCTTCAAGTATTTCCTATCAGTGTCCAATGCTTGTTGTGCGTATCAGGGCAGCTTATACAGTACTGTGAATTATACAGTAGTGTGATAAATGCACTTATGATGTTCTTATATTATCTTCCAAGAAGCACATTAATAATAGCCAAGCTTGATAAATATCAAATTCTCAGAGCTGAAATTTTTCGAATAAGAATATTTGATCACAATTTGAAAGTGTATGCTCATATAAAGCACAAAGCAGATGCATTAGGATGAATATTATAAATCTTAGTTTTGTACGTCTAATGGATGCAACATGTCTATGATGATTGTTCCAATAAGAACAGTATGTGTTCTATAGTATTTTGATTATCTTATTATATTTTATTTACTACTATAAGTTACTTTAATTAATTTAGCTCATTGACCCTAGTTCGTCTTAATTCGATTCCTATTTTACCAGTAATCTAATCCTCTATATTGTCGCATCCACTAATTTATAAATTCACTATTATAGCCATTAATTTGGTTATTATTGATGTCGTTAGGTTGAGTCAGTTTTTTTTCGAAACATGGCATTTGTTGATCCGCTCTATAAAACAAATCACCGCAACAAATATCGAGGCCCTGGGTTGCCCTAGATTTCTTCCTTGACAGCTTTGCAGTTCGCTCTTTTGTAAAAAACATTGCAGTTGTATTCAATATTTTATGTATTTGGCACTATATCTATTGGTGGCAGTATAGCTATAGGTGGCTTTTCATTTTTAGCTTTGTATATTGCGCTTGGCTGATTGTTTTACATGAATTTCAGGGGTATCGCATTGTAGAACCTTCCAAAAATCATAGAGACTTGCTGAAACAAGAGTTTTAAAGTTGAAGGTTTATTGTTTGCTGAAATTGAGATTTGTTGTGCTTGCTAGAATTCAAAATAAAATAAAAACTTGCAGTATTAGGCTAGATTGTAGGTAATTTTGAAAATCAGCTTATTTTAGAGATTTTTGGGTTATAAATAACATCGGTTATGCTTTCCTCTTAATTATTATGTGTGTTGTTGCATATAAATTCATCAAGTCCTTCCAAGTCTTGACAAAAAACCGAAGAATGACTCTCCTTATATTAATGCAGAGCTTTGACTTCCAATCGATGATTTCTATCAATATTTTTTATCTAAATTATTTAGTGATTGGTTTGTGTGTGTGATTTAGATTTTGTCAGGTTTGATAATATAAAGAGTAAGAAATCAATAAGAGATTCATATCGGTTCAAATGAGAATCTTAGGAAAGATTTCAAGTGAGCTTTTACTTCATTATAGGAATGTTTTTTATTTACAAGGAGTAAAAGAAATATAAAGCACTAGAATCACGAGAGAAGTAGGCCAAATTTAATTGTTTCGACCGTGATGGCCTACATTCACTATAGGGGGTGAAAAGTAGGACTAGTAGGAAGAAGAAAAAGGAAGTGACAAAGCTCTTTATCTCACTCTCCCTCTCCTTATCATAGAGTTCAATTCTATTGCTCGATAGTTTAAAATTTTAATAATCAAAAGTCCCTTTAGCTAATGTGAGAAGTACAAATAATGGCTTTGATCATGGATACTGAGGTGGAAGGATTAGTCGACCATTGGGAATATCTACTCTAACATGATGGTTGCCTACGTGACGGTTCTATAGTACCTTGATGTGTGAATATTATGCAAAAAAAAAAAAGATTTTCTTAAATCAATTATGAAATATAGATCATTATAATTGATACATTAAATCGCATAAAACCAACATAATGAATCAAATAGAGCAAATAAATGAATAAAAGATATTAACTATTAAGGGCAAATTACAACAGTCATTAAGTATTTGAAATGCATGTGTATTTCATATACATTGTAAATTAAATACAATATCATTGAAATATTCCAGGTTGTTTGATCCATTGTAATATACAAATTTTTAAATGGATTAGAACATAGAACACAAACACGAGAGCATTACAGTAGATTGCGCAGAGGGTTTGGTGACGATGTGAGGATGGGGAGAGTTAAGGGGAGGAAAGAGTTGAAAGTAATGTATGTAAGGTTGAAATGATGATGAATTTGTGAGGGGATGCCAGGGACTTCATGAGCATGGGATACAACGTGTCCGCAAGAGTGAGTGAAATGTGAGGTCACAATACATGCAACAAAAACAACATCAAGCCTTTATCCCACTATGTGGGGTTGGCTACATGAATCCTTTTTCTCCATTCTGTTATGTTAAAAGTTAAATTCTCATTTAAATCTAATAAAGAAATGTCATTTCTAATATTTTCTAACCAAGTCTTTTTAAGTCTACCTCTACCCTATGATGCACGGACACGGACACGACATGGACACGGAACACGGCTTTTTTTGAAAATATAGGACACGGGTACGGCGCGGACACGGCAATACATTTTTTTATATAGTGTATATATATTAATGTAATAATATATTAAAAATGGCAAACAATAATAAATGAATGACATGATAACTTGTCTAAAAGAGTGGAAAGTAATGTATGTAAGATTGAAATGATGATGAATTTGTGAGGTGACGGGGTCCTGAGGTGGTAAGATTAAGAGGACAAATGGTGCCTGAGTCAACATAAGGATGATGAGTTAGTGCGCATGGGGGCATTTGAGGTTTGGGGATGCCAGGATGGTGACTTCATGAGCATGGGATACAATGTGTCTGCAAGCGTGAGTGAAATGTGAGGTCACAATACATGCAACAAAAACAACATCAAGCCTTTATCCCACTGTGGGGTTGGCTACATGAATCCCTTTTTTCCATTCTGTTAGGTTAAAAGTTAAATTCTTATTTAAATCTAATAAAGAAATGTCATTTCTGATATTTTCTAAACAAGTCTTTTTAAGTCTACCTCTACCTTTTTTAACATAAGTCAAATCTAATACATCTACTTTCCTAACCGATTCATCGGAAGGTTGTCGTTTTATGTGACCAAACCATCTATGGCGACTCTCTCTAATCTTATCTTCCACTAGAGCTACTCCAACCTTTTCACGTATATGCTCATTTCGTATCCTGTCTCTAAAAATAAAACCACTCATCCACTTGAGCATCCTCATCTTTGCAACAATTAACTTAATATTATGCTTCTCATGAGATCACAATACATGATGAATTCAAAATTCACCTGACATGACCTTTTGGAGGCATTCAAAACTACTTAGTGAATATTGAATTTTCTTTTTTTGCTCTCAATCAAACACTTAAAATTTACAACCCCTACATTTTACACTTAAAATATTTGCAATCAAACAAGTCCCAAATCACATTTCAATTAAGGGTGGTAAATTATCACACATATACTGCTAGAATAATATTTTCCCTCTCTTCTCCTCACTCCTATTGCTAATATACACATATATGAAAGTAATTTGCGGAAAACAACTTTTAAATTTGATCGCTAATTTTAAACATCCGATTGTGTAAAGCAGCTCTCTTAAAAACTAATTCAAGGAAGTAAGATTATAGGGACCTTAATTGATTATAATTTAGTTTTCAATTTTCATTAGTTATTAGTTAGTCAGAATTAATTACAAGGAAGTAACATATATTTTCAAGTCCATAACTACTTAATACTAATTTTGTTTCGATAACAAACTACTTGTATAAGGAGCTACTATTAATAAACGATTAGTTATTTAATCTAAATTAGTTATGATACAAGAATTATTGTTATTTAATCTAAATTAGTTATGCTACAAGAATTATTGTTGTCAGTAAGATGCCATTGCAAAATAAAAAATGAATATATTTTTGCATAACAAGTTATTTGTTGTTCTGTAATGGCCTCTTGTTATTTGTATAAACAGTTCTGGTTGTCGAACAATTAGTTATTACTTTGAAATATAATATAATCATACTATGGGAGTATATGGTCCAATCACAAATGAATTGTCGAGAAAACTTCTTTTTCCATCTCATTAATAGTCTTGGACATATTTGCACGTCCCATGAGTGTCGTCACAAGTCCCTGTTGGATTATAGCACCACACATCATGAATTTCAAATGCTCGAAACATATAGTAATCAAACTTCTCATACTCAAGCTTAATGGCTATTATAATCCATATAATAACACTCACTAGCCACTCAACAGTGACATCATTAGTCTTCCCAAGGCACACTAACCATTTTACAGGCCCTTAGGAAGTTTCCACTTCACTAGTTCTTCAAGCACCAAACAAAGAGAATTGAACCATGGATTTCCTCTTGAATGAGCACACCTACAACCGCAAATTGGCATGGCTTTTTATAGGTAAAAAGGGCGATGGATGATTAGGATAAAAAATAAAGCTTGTTATTCAAAAGGATATATGAACTAGGATATATGAACTAAATTCATTAAACTCTAAATTATTGATTAAATCTAAGTAGTCAAAACTAAACCCAATTTTGTTAGCAAAATATGTTCAAAATTGATTTTAAAGTTAAAATTATATAGAAAGAAATTCCGCATTTTAGGGATGAGGTTCAACAAACTCCCAATTGAAAACTAGATTGGTAATGTACTATGAAGATATAATCAACTTTACACCCCCAGCTCAACCAAAGGTCAGAATATCGCACAATCTCACTAAGCTCAAGTGATTTCTATCTTAACACTCATGTGAGAATCACAGAATACTTGTTACACACAAAGAAGAATTTATTGACCCTAAAAGTGTGCTGGCACTAAATTATTGAAATCCCAACGTGATTATCTCCTCACTCTAAATAATGTAATGGTATGATTGTGTTATGCCGGTCCAGCCACTGTTTGAGCTGTGTTCTTGCTGCGGACAGCAGTTTACTTGGCTTAGGTAATTGATTTGGGTTAGGTTTACTTGTGCAAACGAGTATTTCCTATCAGATTGGCATTGAGACACTGTACAATATAAGATTAATTAATCCAATTGTCTCGATTACTCATCCCGTCTCTCTCTCTCTCATACTATCCTATTTAAAAACCTAAACAACCAAACATAAGCCTTCTAAAAAAAAGATGTTGAATATTATAACTATTTTATTATTATCTTCCTTCACTAGTTTTATTTCTTTATTACCGAAGCCATACATTATATAACCATAGCTTCTTCTTGTTAAGATATCTTAATCACAACATACAAAGTACCTAACATACTTCACATAGCCACCAAGAATGTCAACTATCAAAATCCAACCAATGGTAATTGATTGTCGAACTATGCCATCCATTGCTCATTGGATTTTCTCTCTACGATATATGTTAACCTTAGAAAAACACTGCTCATTGATGCCATCATAGTCACATGTTCACTACAATAGCTCGAACAAACCACCAAAAAAATGATGTTTTTAGCCTTCTCAAGGCCCATTGACCATCTTCTCAAACTACCATTTATCTTTTATCTAACAAGTTTCTCTAGTAGAACCACCGAGTAAAGAGAAACTAGAGATGGACTCCCTCCTAATTTATCATGTATATAATCATATGTTTCATGGCCTTTTTTTTATAGAAGAGAGGAGTGATGATTCTGATAGAGACCACTTGAATATTCCAAGTGATTCCTATCGGATCTTCGCCAAAACACAATTATTCTGCTGTTTTCAATAGAAAACAGCCACCAAACAATGGAAAATCTGAGAAAATAGGGAGAAAACGTTGGGAAAACAATAGTAACAATTGTATTCCACTAGTGGACAAACAAAACCAAAGCAAGATACAATGTTCTTCAATTCGAGAGGAAGAACAACTCTCCAACAGATTCATTAATATAACAACAAATAAAATTATCATCAATAGGGATTTAGGAAATTATAAAATGAGTTTATTAAACTCTAGAAATGATATTGAGCCAATCAAAGAAGAAAAAAATGAAACCAATTTAATTTGCCACAAATCAGGTCACAATTGATTTTAAACTCAAAATCTTGCATAAAGAAACTCCATGGTTTTCGGGATGAGGGAATTAATCTACAAAACCTGATAACATGAATTCCGGATTGATGCTAAAATTTTCCTTACTAAAGACTATTATTAAAATTTCCTAGGTCATATATTGTTGATTAAGTTGCTCGAAACAAAGTATCATTTTTGTCAACCCAACATAAATGCTTTTTCTTTAGCAATCATCATAGTTGTGGAGTGACCTAAAAATTCACAATCATTGGATCTATTACACCATAGAATAAGGATATGACTTCTAAAATTAAAAATGAATTATTAAATTGAAAAAAGTCTTAGGAGTATAATGTCGTATGAGAATATTATGGAGATTTAAATGTAAATATTATAAAACAACAATTTGGCTAGTTACGTTCTATGGATCTAAGCATGAGATAGTAAGGAAATCATTCATATATAAGTGAAGTGTGACATAATTGAATATTAAAATGAATGTGGCGGTAAAACTAGGAAAGATATATTAAGAAATAATTATAGTACATATTCCAAGCATCTATTAATGATAAGATAGCCAAAAAAGACTTGGGTAGTTTAGCATATATAATGAATTATGGAAGATGTATAGATAAGATGGGTACATAAACTAATGTTAAGGGTTATGAAGAAAAATAGAATGATTTAAGTTCACTTGAATAGAAGTTGTGCAAAAATATTTATGTAAAATAGTTTTAACATCACATGCAACGATCAATAGAAATGCATGGAGAATAAAGATTCATAAATCCAACTCGTGATAGTTGGAAAAAGGCTAATAATGATGATGATGATATCCACCTATATTCCCATTCTTTGCATAAAAGGATAATATATCTAACCTCTCACATAACTATAACTGAGCCAAACACCATAGTATCCTAAGACAAACTAATAATATTTGAAAAAAGTTGACCTATGCATATTGTTCAACAAGTGTAGAGCAAACCAAGATTCATAATAAGTTAGATGATCTAATTATAAAAAGCCATTTGTAAGTTTTGGCAAGTAAACAAATATCTAAGAACAAGGCCCTTACAATGAAGCAATGTGTGCTTATTACCTATAAATCTGCACAATCCTCCTGAGAATGTTGAGCCTCAAAAGATTTTCTACATTAAAGAGTCAAATATGCACATGTTTTTATCTTTCAACTCCCTAGTAAAGAGAATCTCTACTTGTGCCTCGATTATTATCACACTTTCTACCAAAGATGATAAAAACTAAGACAATCTTTTAGTTTATAGACTAAAACTTGCAGTAGAACAAGAATTTTGTTTGGAGTTGATCCAGACCATAAGAAAACTCTAAAACTTTAAGCTTTACTCTTCAAATACATGTTAAGATTCTCAAAAATGCTATTCATGTGTACCGTCCATGGCTTGGCTGAGTGAATCAAAATCCATAAATGTTCTAGATGCCCTGTTCTGAGATGCTTGCATCAATACAATGGTGTGCCTGTTAGCCTGCACGAGAGAAACAATCAGCACTAAAAAAAAATATTTTTTAAGTTAACAAAGACAAATTCCAATGAAGAAAGATGAGTAAAATTCATGTCGCTTGTTACTGGAGGCTTTGAGCTGATTGTGGAGAAGCTTGCTATCCCTTAGGCTTTGGCATCCTTCTAAATTTTTTTCACCTAAAGTAGGAGCCTCTATAATGTATCAAGTCCGGCTATGCATGGGCATGAGGCTTTAAGGTCATCAATTTACCCATAAGTAGCAGAAATAACTGTTTTTTTTTTTGTGAGTTGCATGATAAGCTTCTAATCCTAATAATATAATTGGAGAATTTTTAGTTGTTCCTTCTTTTTGTAAGAAGCGATAAAAATTATCTACTTTCTTTAGGCATTATAAAACCTCTTAATGAGCATGCCTTCTAACATAATGAAAGTATTGATTAAGGTTTTGTTTGGGATGACTTTCTTTCTGCTTCTTAAAGCAACTTCCTAATACAATAATTTTAATTTTTGTACTAAGAAGTTGTTTTAAGAAGCAATGCGAAAGCCGTCCCAAATGAAGCCTAAATCATCAATAAACTCAAACACCACTAAAAAGAACTGCTGATCAAACTAACAATAAATTAACATAGAAGTTGGGCATCATTACTTGAAGTGTTTCCACAAGTGGCAGTAAATCAAGTCAATTGTTTTATGGGATTCCTCTGGCTGCTGAAGGTAAAGAATTTGGTATAGTATTGATACGGCATCACAAAATCATCTTGATCGGGCATGAATCTCGAGGCAAAAACTAGTTAGAAACTTCAAAAAATAATTTCGGGAGCATATGAACTTCAATTTCAGCGAGCTTACAGTCAAACTGAGCGTCTCGGAAATACGAACCCAACGACACCAAGATGAACCCAATCCGAGCCCAAATAAGTCTGAATCAAGGGTTCAAAGCGCTGTTGGAAGGTTCAAAGGCTGAAGGTAAAGAATTTGGTATAGCATAATTTTTAGTATATTATAACCGAACATATTTGACCATATGCTATGGTCCTTCGAATAAAATTTAGGGAAAAATTGGGGTTTTTCCGGATTAGAATGAGCTTTCAAATAAGCGCAATATAAGCGTTTTTTGATTAATTCATCTCAAAGAAAATATGATCATATAAAGTCCATTGTCATCAAATTTGGGTCTCCTAAATCTACAACTACGATACCCAAGCAAAATAAATAAATAAATACTAGAATCTATTCATAATGTACCTTCCTCTTCCTCCCGGCAGAATAAATCTAAATAAGCAACTTTAGAAAAGCAGAATCGAATCTTCGGGAAAAAAACCGCTAAGAACGTAAGGATCAAATGAGAACTGATGCAGAAAACAGAAAAAAAAAAATTTTTTTTTTGAGGAAAAAAAGAGAGGGGAAGCTACCATCGATCTCGTCTACGATGAGCGAGAGCCGCAGCGAGGCGGAGGGGTGTTGATTCGATTGCTAGCGCGAACCTTTAGTCGACCGAGCTATATGTATGAAGAAGGCGAAGGCAACCAGGCAAAAAACATAGTTCTAGCCGGAAAACAAATATGGTAAGCCCTAATTAAGATGGCGTAAATTAAAAAAAAATTAAAATTTTGAAAAATTATTTTGACGCATTTTATATTATAATATTCTAACATCAATATTTTTTATCATAATTATTTTGCAACGGGTGAGATTAAGATTAATTTAATCATTTGAGTATATTATATATGAAAATATTATTTTTTTAATATAAATGATTTATATCGACTTTTATCACCAATAAATTTTAAAATATATTAAAAAAAATCTTTTTAAATAAATTATAAGGAAGTTTTTAAATGGATTAAACAACATCGAGCAATCAAATGAGTTTTTTCAGAAAAAGAAAAATCATATTTTGTTAACTATTTACATTTCTATTTTAGTTGACTATGAATTAGAGAATTATTTCAATGTCATAATATTTATTTTTTCAAATTGTCAACCTATAATTTAAGGGAATTAGAAGATTAGAAATGAATTTGAATTATGGAATTCTTATTTAATTATGTAATTGGCGCTTAGTTATATTTATTACATACTATAAAATTTGTGACGGTTTAGTATTCATTTTATGACTTAGTTTTTGACAAAAGTTTAGCACGCACAACACAAAGTTATTAGTGCCAAGAACTATTTTGCATGAAAAATTCAAAAAGGGAAAGACAGCAAGGTCAGACCCAATTGCAATAATTCAATCTCAAATAAAAGATATAAGAATATTCCATTTCTCACAATTAAAGAAGAGGGGAGTAGTTATAATAGAATTATTCGATTTTTCTTATAGGAATTATAGATGTTTGACGTCGACACCGACTATTAAAATCCATCAATAAAGATAAATGTTGACAAAAATTTGGCGATTATGATAACTGTTACTAGTGGTGATAGTCTAAAAAATGCAACATAGCTCTTTGGTTCTCTTAGATAGGTTTTTTGAGATGAGCACTTTGATAAATTTTATCATAATTCAAACACTCCTTCGTACGGTCCATATTGATCTTCTTGATTGGAGATTATTTATCAAACATTCGAATGCATTAGCGATGTCAGAATAGAGTAATCTTGGACTCATTAAATTTGTCTCGTGGAACCGCTTAATTTGATTATAAGCTATAATTGGAGATTATTTAATCCACCAATTCATATTCAAAAGTTTCTAAATATAATTCAATTCTTTGATTTGAGCTTATGTGGAGTCAGGTGGGTCAATTGTAGCATTGATAGAAGCTTCTCATCAAGATGTTCAATTCGGTTATAAGTTTTCTAAAATAAAAGTTCATATGATGTTAAATTTAATTCTAAAGTTTTTAATTTAAATATTGCCCATTGCCCTTAGATTAATGTCAATCATGCAAATTTGTTTATAGATGCATCAATGTTAATTTCATCACTTAATTTTCATTAGATTTATTAACTATTAGCTTAATTAGTCATTAATTAAATAATACATATAGACAGACTAATTGACATAAAAATTTTAGAATAACATTTGTTTAAATAGAATTTTAAGGCTTATTATTCTTTATTTTCATGGCTCTAGCTGTTTAAATTTTAATTAGAGTTTAATAACAATATTATTAATAATTTACATTAAGATAATAATTCGATATTAAGATTAAAGTAATTAGGAATCATTTCAACAAGAATTAGGCTTAATTAGTATTTAATTGGGATTAGATAAGTCCAGAATCAAACTGGATATGTCAAAGATTGCATGCCCTCAATCATAATTTTAAGTTCGGCTTAAGACAAAAAAAATTGATTTTTATGGCATCAGCAAAACGTTCTCCAGATTCTACTGAGTTTATAAACAAACAAACAAAAGAAACTCAATTCCCTAAACCCTAAGACAGACACACAGAATACTTTTTTAACGAGGAAAACAACCATTTTCTTCGTACAATCTCCAACCAAACTTAATACCACCATATCCCATCCGTCATTTGCTCCGTTCGAACTCTAAATCGTACGCCAAAGTCTGGTAGGAAAACAGTGCGACGCCAATATTGGCCTCGGACTGTTCACCTACGCCAAAAGATTCGTTGTGGTATATGCCGAAGAAGCTCGCGAAAGAGGAGAAAAGAGTGTCAACGATGGTTACCTTCACAGGAAGCACGTGAAAGAAGAAGAAATGATGTTTGATTGGAGAAGAATGCCAGCATTTTGAAATTTTACGGCATTTTGGAGTGGAAAATGAGTTTTTTTGCTTGGAGATGCCCTATATAGCTTCTCTTACTGCAGTAATGCACCAATTACAAGCATTACCAAAAAAACAACACATACTGCTTGGCAATTGCAGAGTGAAGCATATTATTTTCAGCAACATTTATTTTCAAGGGAAAAAAAAAAGATGACATTGCTAATGACCTCATTTCCTCAATCTTGGATAAAAGAATAATTCCAGTGGCCTATTGCTTTCCACAGTCACACTAATAAGAGGGGGAAAAGCCTATGGAGCCTCCACTTATGGTTTCATATAAAATCAATCATAGCCTGTGTTGAAAATTATGATTGCGCAATATCCATATCCACCACAGTTTCATCCATTAAAAACTAACAGCATCATTCTCTTTAAAAGTATCATTTTATGTTTATGTAGATAAAGTGACATTCATATATGCTTAGGGCTTCGTTTGGGACCGCTTTCTTATTGCTTCTTAAAGCAGCTTTTTTACCGCTAGGAAAAAGTTGTTCCAAACAAAGCCTTAATTCTAATATTTATTATTCAAGGTTATTCATATGAACTGTTGGAATAAGCCCAAGGGCACACCAGTATAAACCAAATGATAATCATTTCAGTTTCACTTTTGAATTTTCATTTAGAACTTAAAACGGTTAAAGTGCCACTAAGCACTAATTTGTCATGTCAAGGTTATATGCAAATGCATAGCAGAGATGCCATTAGCAAAAGAAAACACCTAGGCCTATTCCACTATATTTCCAGTTTGCAATCTTAAGAATGAAAACTTCTAATGAGTTTAAACGCATAATTCTTACTCGAGTAAGTCTCCTCTTCTTCCATATCTGCATGGTCTCACCAAGCAATGCTTGCAATCCACCTCTTCTCATCAATCGCCGAGGAGCAATTAGCATAGAAAAAGCAGCACTCTTGGAATTCAAAAGCTCTATAAGGTCAGATCCTAACTTAGTTCTTTCAAACTGGAACAGGTCTACCAATGTATGTGACTTCAATGGAGTTGAATGCGACCGTTGGAGGGCTCATGTCATCTGCATAATACTCAAACAAACTAGCATCGGAGGCAGAATCAATCCTGCACTTGCCAACCTCACTGCGCTCTATGAGCTTGACTTATCAGATAATCAACTAACTGGCCACATTCCACCTGAATTCTCCAAGCTGAGGATGCTCAACATTCTTGATCTCTCAGGAAATGGACTCAATGGCATGATACCAGAAGCTCTCTCGCACCTTAATGGCCTTGGTTATCTCAACATTCGTAGCAATTTACTTGTTGGTTCAATACCTTCTTCTATCTTCAGCAACTGCACCAACTTAACTGTTGTGGATCTCTCAAACAACTCACTTTCGGGTAACGTTCCAGCTGAAGTGGGAATCAGCCTTCCTCAGCTGTACACACTCGATCTTTATCAGAATAATCTGACAGGGAAGATACCTTCATGGCTTTCAAATTCATCCATATTAAATGAGCTAGATGTTGAGAACAATGATCTTTCTGGTGAATTGCCTTCAGAGATGATAGGAAAGTGGAAGAATATTGAATTCCTTCACCTGTCATATACACATCTTACAAGCCACAGAAACAACACAGACTTAGATCCATTCTTCAGTGCTCTTTCTAATTGCTCCAGGCTGAAAGAGCTGGAATTGGCAGGGATAGATCTCGGCGGGCAACTTCCTCGTAGACTTGGATTAAACATCTCAAGCTTGTCAATTTTGAATCTTGATAGCAACAAAATTTATGGCTCTATCCCTCCCAACATTGAGAAACTTCGAAACCTGACATTGCTGAATTTGTCAAGCAATCTAATAGATGGAGTGATTCCAAAAGAGATCAGCCATTTGGCAAGTTTACAGAGGCTTATATTGTCTAATAACATTTTGGGTGGAGAAATCCCTCAAGTGATGGGTAATATGAGCTCAGTTGGCTTACTTGATTTATCAAACAATAGATTCACCAGTGAGATACCTGAAAGTATTGGAAATTTGGTAGAAATCAGTGACCTCTATATGCAAAAGAATCACCTCTCAGGGCACATCCCTTCTTCACTTGGTAATTGCATTAGCCTTACCAGATTGGACTTATCATACAATAATTTGTCGGGTATCATACCTACAACAATAGCAGGATTATTGAAGATATTTCTTAATCTTTCAAACAACCAGCTTCATGGTCCTTTGCCTATGGAACTCAGTAAGATGGAGCAAGTTGAAGAAATTGACATTTCATCAAACAAAATCAGTGGCCCTGTGATTCCTCAGCTCTCTCTGTGCGTCGCCGTGAAGTTGATCAATCTCTCACATAATTTTCTCCAAGGGCCACTCCCCAAATCAATTGGGGTCCTTAATGACCTCGAAGTCTTTGATCTGTCCAACAATTCTTTATCTGGAGAGATCCCACAGAGCCTTAACAACTGCACCAGCCTCAAACTATTGAATTTATCCTACAATGATTTCAGTGGGTTGATACCAAGTGCAGGAATTATTAGCATGTTCTCTGACCTCTCCTTTCTTGGGAACCCAAATTTGTACCGAAATATTAGCAAAAAAAAAGGCAAACAGATCCATTCAAAAAGAATTTTAATTACAGTTTGTGTAGTTGCTTCAGTACTGGCTTTCACAATAACCATATTATTTGTGATTAAAATAAGACAGATTAGAAAAAATATTTTAAGAAGAGATGATGATTTGGCAGGCGTGACACTGCCTTCTTTGAGGTCGAGCTACCCAAGAATCACTTACAGACAGCTTTCAGAAGCAACCAGAGGATTTGCAGAGGAGATGCTCATTGGTTCTGGAAGCTATGGGAGTGTTTACAGAGGAATTTTAAGGGATGAAACAGTGGTAGCAGTCAAAGTACTTCGCCTTCAAACTGGGAACTCCACCAAGAGCTTCAAAAGAGAATGTGAGGTCTTAAAAAGAATCAGGCATCGAAATCTAATTAGAATAATCACGGCTTGCAGCCTTCCAGAATTCAAGGCCCTTGTTCTTCCATTTATGTCAAATGGTAGTCTTGATTCTAGGTTGTACTCAAATGAAAATGATCATCATCTGGATTTGGAGCAGAGAATTAGAATTCTAAGTGACATAGCTGAGGGGATGGCATACTTACACCACCACTCTCCAGTGAAGGTCATTCACTGTGATTTAAAGCCTAGCAATGTGTTGCTCAATGAAGATATGGCTGCACTGGTATCTGATTTTGGAATTTCAAGACTTGCGATCAGTGTGGGCGCAGGAGTTACTATAGCTGGACCAGATATTGCAGGCAGCTCCACTGCCAATATGTTATGTGGGTCTATAGGGTATATAGCTCCAGGTACATTCACCTTTCTTCTATTTAATATTGTTTACTTCAAGCTCTCTTGTTTTGCAAGTATTATTCTTTGGCAAGATTGTTATATCGCTTCCGGGTTGTTTCGTTTGTTGATATCTGCTTTACAATGATATATAAATAGTAGATGCAAGCTATTTAGCTTCGTTTGGGACGGCTTTCTTCTTACTTTTTAAAATAGCTTTCTAGTACAAAAATTTTTTGAATTTGAAATTTTTGTACTAGAAAGCCATTTTAGAAATCAGTACGAAAGTTCTCTCAAACAAAGCTTTAATTTACTGAAATCTTAAAAAAGGAATATGTAGGACAGAATAGAGAAAAATGATTCATGTAGCCCACCTCACATAATGGGATAAAGAATTGTTGTTTAAAGAAGAAATATGTAAATAGTATTTTAGAATTTAGTCCTATTTTTTTATATCTAGATTTTACTCAACTAGATCAATATCTAAATGTTGAACCAAATGCAATACATTCAAAATGTAATACTGAGTACTGAAATCTAAATAATACTGAATCAAATAAATATTAGTAGATTGAACTCTAGCTTTCATTGTCATATACTCATCTTCTGTATGTTAACATTAACCAAACTTAACCATACCTTTGCTTGATGTTTAATCAATCTTGTAGAATATGGATTTGGCTCAAGAGCAACCACAAAGGGAGATGTCTACAGCTTTGGTGTACTAGTCCTTGAACTATTAACAAGGAAGAGACCAACAGAAGAAATGTTTGTAGGCGAGCTGAGCCTTCAGAAATGGGTGAAAAATCACTACCATGGTAGATCGGTTGAGATGGTGATTGATTCAAGTTTAATGAGAACTGCAGGGAGCCAAGTAGCTGAAGTGAGGAGAATGTGGGAGGCAGCAATATCAGAGTTGGTAGAGCTTGGTCTCTTGTGCACACAGGAGAATCCATTTATGAGGCCAACGATGCTTGATGCTGCTGATGATTTGGATCGATTGAAAAGGTATCTCTCAGGTGACACCACGGCTACATTTGCATCATCATTGGGGATGTCTTCAACTGTTGCAGAGGATATCATGTGATGCTTAAATTGTATTATAAGCATGTGTTTGGTTTGCACATTGAATGTATTTGGTAGAAAAGCTTGGTTGCAATTAGAATCATTGTGCATTCATAGAATGCATGGCTCATAATGGAGCTATTATTTTGTGCGGACACCGGATGGGAGAACCGTCCGGTTAAGCGCTGGGTACCCAGCGGTACCGAGGGGTACCCAGCGTGGGTACCGAGCTTGGTACCGAGCAATGGGGTGATGTGACGCATTTTTATTGGTCTCAGGACGCCCTCTGAACTCCGCACAGAATAATAAATCCTCATACTTAGTCAAATTCAAGCAAAATTGTCGCAATTTGAAATGAAACATTGGGATTCTTACTCACTAGAACTTTGAGTCGAAATTGAATTTGAATTTCAAGCAACTCAATGTATGAGCGTTGCACGAGCTTTTATATATATAGCAAACCTCTAGCAAATTTTAAATGGTTAGAAGCATCGATTATTTTTAAAAGCATTGCAGGTGTGTTTTTTGTCCAATTGGGAATTCTTTATGGGTTTTTTTTTTTATGCTAGCTGTCTTATTGTTGTACATTGAAAAGTTTCAAAAACTGTGGGTGTCATAGCAGTATCGTTTCTTTGGCAGTTCTCATAAAATTAGTCAATGCTCTGTGCCTTTTTTTAAACACAGAAAACATTTTTCACTGGCAAGTAAAGAGCATTAATGGTTTTATGAACGTAACAAAGTCCTCAACAACAACAACATCAAGCCTTTATCCCACTACGTGGGGTCGGCTACATGAATCCGTTTTCTCCATTGTGTCCTATTAAAAGCCAAATTCTCGTTTAAATCTAATAAAGAAAGGTCATTTCTAATATTTTCTAACCAAGTTTTTTTAGGTCTACCCCTACCTTTCTTAACACAAGTCAAATCTAATACCTCTACTCTCCTAACTGGGTCGTCGGAAGGCCGCCTTTTTATGTGACCAAACCATCTAAGGCGACTCTCTCTAATCTTATCTTCTACTGGAGCTACTCCAACCTTTTCACGTATATGCTCATTTCGTATCCTATCCCTAAGGGTAAAGCCACTCATCCATCTAAGCAACCTCATCTCTGCCACACTTAAATTTGGGTTATGCTTCTCTTTTAATGGCCAACATTTGGCACCACAAAGCATTGTAGGTCTCACCACCATCTTATAGAATTTTCCCTTAAGTTTGAGGGGTACATTTCTATAACATAACAAGCCCGATGCATTCCGCCACTTCAACCATCCAACTTGAATTCTACTGATAATATCCCCATCTATTTCACCATCACTCTGAACAATAGATCCAAGATACCTAAAACGTGTACTCTTATTAATGACTTGATCGCCCAAAGTCACAATCCCCTCACTAGGACTATTACTGCTAAAATTACACTCCATATATTCCGTTTTAAATCTACTCAAGCGAAAA